CTGACGTGGCCACCCAGGGGGAATCCCTTTTCCCCGCCACATCTGGAGACTTCACTGCTGCCTCCAAGCCCCTAATGTGGGATGTTTTTCTCATCTCTCTGGATCCCTGGTGGAGACTGAATCCTGAGCCGGCCTCGCTGGCTGCTTGGGCTGCAGAGCCCCAGCAACCTCCTGAAAGACTTTCTTGGGGTCACAGACACTAGCCAGAGGATGGAGCTGGAGCGCAGGCTGGATTCTGGAGGAGGGAGGACCCTGACAGAGGGATTTGAAGTGGGCAGAGAGGGGCAAAGACAGAAGTCCTAGCAGAAGGGATTAAAGTCACGTCTTAGATGAGCATGTCTTCTGCACCACAGCCTTATACAAGTCTCCTCTACAGTTTCTTCAGGTGAAAACAAACCAATTACGGGCCTCCCTGATGGCGCAAGGGGCTAAGTCTCAGCACTATGAAGCTATTGGCAGCCACTGCAGCACGAGTTCGATCCCTGGTCAGGGAGCTGACCCATATGGCACGGCAGACCTCTCCTTCTTCCTGCTGCTCCCCTCAGCAGTGTATTTCAGTCAGTCTGCCTGTTCTGTTCCCCACTCTGTCCCTGGTGAGTCCTCTCAACCCCCCACACCTCTGACCTCTACCCCAGCTCTTGTATGCATAAATAAATCTTTAAAAAAAATTTCTTTTGGAGAGAGCACAAAGCCTCTAAGGAAGCTCTAGGGTCATTTATGGACTTGGGCTTAGCGCTAATACCTTAACCCAGTATACATGCCACAGGTCTCATCTCCCCATTACGCACTGTTCAGGGCTTCGTGTTCAGACTTGAAAAGAATGAGTAAGTGTGAGGTGCTGGGACAGCGCCGCACTGCGGACCTGGGGGTGGGTGGGTGTGGGGGGCTGCCGTGCTGGCTGGTGGTATCGGAACATCTTGAAAAAGTGATCCTGCATTAAATATTAACTTCTTCATTTCATAAATAAAATGCAGTCATGTTGATTTGAAAGGGACAGGATTTTTTTTTTCTTTTTAATTTACACCCTCTCTTGAGCAAAGACATCCTGTGAAGTAGAACTCAAGTGAGCATTTGCTTCGCAGTTCTTGAAAAGTAGGTTGCAAATGCAGAGAGGGCTAGAGCCCTCGCTCTGAACACACAGGTTTCTGCAGGGAGGGCGTGCTGGCCTGGGTTGCGGGCCCAGGGCTCTGCCTAGCTGAATGAATGCTCTGCTGTTGCCTCTTGAAGTTCTAAATGGCTCTGCACCGGGGGCCCTGCACATTCTCTAGCGGGTCCCATGGAGAGAGGTGACTCAGACTTCACCCTCTCTCCTCTGTGGTTTCAGTGAACTCATGGGTTGAAGGGGAAGATTCTGAAAATGATGTTGGTGTCCTGGGCTTGGGGAGTGACTCAGATCGTTTTGCATTTGAATTTCTTTGTTTCACATTTCAAACGTTTTAGTTTACTCTCTTTGTACTAGAATACTCACTCTGACTCTTGTCTTCCTGACCCCAGGACAGTTCTTCCTGGCTTTCTCAGCACGACCTTTTAGCCCCCCTTTTCACCCGCCCCCCCCTGCCCTTCCCCCACAGCCATTCCTGCAGTTTCCTGCATCAGACTCCCAAGCTCCCCACGTTGGAGCCATCGCTTCTCCCCTCCCCCGCCCCCCACTTCCAGGTGAACACCAAGACCTTCCAGTTCTATGGGACGGCGGGAACAAAGGGCCATAAACTACGCCGCTAAAAATAACAAATCGGTTCTCACAGTTCTGAGGGCCAGAGGTCTGAGAGCAAAGTGTCAGTAGCGTTGATTCCTTCGCGAGGTCTCAGGGAAAAGCCCACCCACTCCCCAGCTCAGTGGTGCCAGCACCCTAAGGCTTGTACACACTCTCAGTCTCCATCTTTCCTCACGGGGCCTTCTTCCCTCTCGTGTGTCCCCCCCGTGTCGTTGGATCCAAATCTCCTTCTTTCCGTCACAAGGACACCAGTCATTGGATTGACCCGTCGTCATCTGGAAGGGCTTCATCTTAACTTGGTGGCATCTGCAAACACCCTATTTGCAAATAAGATCCCATTCCCAGGTATTGAAGGGCAGGACTCGAACATAGATTTCGGGGGGGCACAATTTAACCCAATACACGAGCCCAGTTCAAGCTCCTCTCTGAAGTCTTCCCAGACCCCATGTCTCTGGGGAGGAGGAGGGAGGAGAGTGATGACGTCTAAGCATTTTGACAGGCCCTCGGCGTTTGGTGGGAAAGCTGTGAAGTGTTTCTGTTGCAGTGGGTTAACCGCGGAGACCCCAAAGATCACATCCACCTGGATCACTAAGTAACCTTATTTGGGAATAGGGTTTTTGCAGATGTCATTCATCCTATTCAGGTGGGGTCATGCTGGGCTAGGGTGGCCCTAAATCCAGTCCTTACGATAGGAGAGACACGCAGGGAGGCTTGGAAGAGAAAGCGGTGACTTCCGGGCAGCAGTCGGAGTGACGTAACCACCAGCCGAGGAATGCCATGGTGGGCAAAGGCCGGGAGGCTCCTCCCCAGTTTCCAGACCTGCATAAAGGTGTGACCCGAGAGGGACTCTAGGTTGTGATGGTGACACGGGCTTCATGTGCCACTCCCCTACTTAGGGGGCCAGTACACCTCCTCCCCTCAACTCTGCCAGCACCAAGTGGCCGGGCCCTGAGGCCCACCTCTTCCTGCTGCGCCGGGGCAGAACGTCTGCATTGGGCACTGCGTCCAGCTGAGCCGGGGGCTGACGTCTGGGGTCACTCACGGGGCTGTTCATTCCATGGCTTCTGCCAAATGTGCAAAGTCACGCATCTGAAATCCTAAGAATCTCCCATGCCCCAAGCACCCTCCCCTTCCCCAGCCCGAATGTTGACCATCTCCGTAGCGTTGGTTTTTCCAGGTTGGCACAGAGCTGCATCCGCAGCCTCTTCACACTGGCTCCTTTCCCTATCTCCTGCCTGCTCAGCCTCTGGAGGCGCCTCATCCTGGCTCAGGCCCCTCCTCCAGCCCCGCAGCCAGCAGCGCGGCCTCTTCCCACCCCTCTCCCCCGACCCTCTCCTCCCTCTGTGAGGACCCTCAGGGGGATCCAGGATCCTCCCATCTCAGGGGCCCCAACTCAGTCCTACCTCAAAGTCCCTTGACCATGTGAGGTGACGTGGAATCAGGTCCTGGGCCCGGGACACGGAGCTCCGTCGACTGCACAGCGAGGCTTTTGCTCTAGGGCCGCAGGTGAGAGGCGTTGCTGGGGAGGGTTTCCGGGGCAAGTGGGCCTCGCTCAGTTTTTGGAGCCCCCGTATTCCTGCACGAGGTCGCAGGGGGCTCCTTACCCCACTGAGCAGGCTCCGGTGTGGGTGCCGCTGCCTCTGCCCTCTCCCCGGTGCTGCGGGCCCGAGACCCTCCAGGCTCTGACTGTTGGGAGAACTGCCCCGAGCATTCCTTCCACGGTGGTTTATGGCTGCGTGTTTTGGTTTCTCTTGGGTAAACACCTACAAGTGGAGCCGCTGGGTCATAGAGGGGGTGTGTATTTAATTTTATAAGAAACTGCCAGAGCTTGCCCCAAAGTGGCTGCAGCATTTCACATTCCTACCAGCCAGCTCCGCACCCTCAGCCGCGCCCAGCTTTTCAATCTTAGCCATTCGGTGTGTGTTAGGAGGATTTTTTTTTTCTTTTTGTGGTGAAGATACTTCACATAAAAGGTACCATCTGAGCCATGTTTAAGTGCTCAGCTCGGTGGCAGTAAACACTCATGCTGCTGTGCAGCCGTCCTGTCCGCCCTCTCCAGAGCTTTCTCATCACCCCAGAATGAAGTTCCTTCCCCATTCAGCGCTAGCCCCCTCCGTCCCCCAGCCCCAGGCACTCCACCTTCTTCCTGTCTATAAATGTGACTCCCAGGCCCTCCTGGGAGTGGAATCCCAGTGGCTGTCCGTCTGGTTTATTTCACTCAGCATCCACGCTGTAGCTTATGTCAGAATTTCCGTCCTCTTGTGAGCCTGAATAATGCTCCAGTGTGAGGCTGGACACACCACGTGGCTCCATCCACCCGCGTGGACTCTGGGTGGCGTCCACCTCGTGCCAGCTGCAGGTCGTGCTGCCGCGGACTCGGGTCTCTGCTGTCTACTCAGGAGCCGCCTGAGGGATCATGTGCTGTTGTACGTTTAGGCTTCAACCTGTCTTTGAACTTACAGTTTTCAATATGGAGGGGATAATTTCTATGTAGTTGAATGTGGAACTGTCTCACACAGAGAAGATTCTCTGCTTCCAGGTCAGAACCATCCTGCTGACTCTTGGGCCTCCCTGGTGGCGCAGGGTTAAAGTCTCAGCGCTATCAAGCTATCAGCAGCCACTGTGGCATGAATTCGATCCCTGGCGAGGGAGCTACCCACATGGTGCAGCAGACCTCTCCTGTCTCGCCCGCCGCTCCCCTCAGCAGTGTATTTCAGTCATTCTGCCTGTTCTGCTCCCCACTCTGTCTCTGGTGAATTCTCTTACCTCCTGCACCTCTGGCCTGTACCCCAGCTCTTCTGTGCATTAATAAATAAATCTTTTAAAAAAATAAATAAAAACCTAACTCTATGGGACGATGTGGCCTGGGGCTCTGACCCACTTGACCTTTTCCTGGGAGTCCATGGTCGTCAAGGGTGGTCTCTGGGAGACTGGAGGGTAGGTGACAGGCCAAAGAGTGAGATGAAGCTCCTCCCAGGCTCTGAGCCCAGGGAGATGGAGGCACAGTCCACGGGCCATGCCAACCAGACATGACCTAACCCGGCGGTGCGCGCTCCCAGCATCCATCTCTGCGGACGGCCTCGCCTCCTTATTCCCCTCAAAACAAGCCAGAAAGCCCCTCAAAGCTGAAAATCACTCCTTCGCACTGCTGCCTGCAGTTGTGCTGCCTCTTTGCTGACAGGCGAGGGGCCGGGGCTAGGGGGGCAGTCTCTCCCTTCCAGGGGGGCCAGGCCCCCCTGGTCTGCCCCAGCCCCCAGGGAGGGAAGGACGGGCCCACAGCCAGGAGAAAAGGAAAACTAAGCCTTTTATTGTAGATTGATTCACTTTGTATTAACAATTCCACACAATATTAAAACACTGAGAGAAAGTAGGTGTGGCACACACGGAATTATTTTTTAAAAATCTGAAATAAAAACTACCGGGACATCCAAACGCAGAGGGGGTAGAACCTGCTAGAACCACAGATTGCTTCTGCAAGCCGGGACCTGGTCTTCGCATTTGGCAATGGTTTCCGTGGACAGACAAGAAAGCGGGCAGTGTCCGATATATGGCTTCGTTTCGGGGAGCCCGTGGCATGCTGGCTTTTTGTAGGTCTTCTTGAAGGGCCAGTGACCTTTGGTGGCCCCACCTTGGCTCCGAACCTGCCCCCAGTCACTCTCGGCCTGATGGGTCCCTGGCCTTTGCCTGCCGCCCTCCCTGAGCGCAGGCGGGATTCTTCAGATGGATGAGAGGCCTGGGGGTCCAGCGTCCCGTCCCCCGGCATGGTGGCACCAAAAAGGGCCTTGGGAAAGGAAGAGACACCACATAGCCTGGGTCCCGGGCTAGCCTGGAGGCCAGAGGCCACTGCCCACTCACTTAATCCCTGGCCTGGAGGTCATCTTGGAAGATGGGGGAGGGGTGTGTGTTCTAGCTCCTTCCTGGAGTGGGGGGGGGGCGGGAGGAGCCCCAGAGGCCACTGGGTGGGGTGGGGGCCCCTCGGGAACACTGAGACACGGTGAGGAGAAGGGGATACTCCCTCCCCGCCTGTGTGCCCTTCAACCCCGGGAATGGAGGAGGGACGCTGGTTTCCCGAGGCCCTTGCTGCCACCACACCATTGCCCAAGCGCCCCAGAAACCATGTTTTCATCCCGGACACGGGGCAAGCATAGCCGACGCCTCCAGTCTACACTGTGGACACTGAGATTCACTCTAAAAGGGAGAAAGGGAGAAAGGCCTTTTCCCTCAGCCAGAAGGAAATCTGCCATGGCTTCTGCCAACTGCCACCTCCCTGGGGTCTGAGGACGAGGCACCTGGTCACCAGCTCAGGGGCCGGGCGGGCACCTGGGGGTGCTGAGCAGGTGTACAGAGGAGGGTGGCTGGCCCGTCCTCACCTTCTCCGGACCTCAGTGCCCCCAGATGCGTGGCCCCCCGGGGCCTCAGATCTCTTTGAGAGGCCCTCTCTGGTGCTCCGGCCCCTCCTCCAGGGCTTGGGGTCAGTTAGTGGCTCAGTCCAGAGGAGGCAGCGGGACAATGAGCTTGGGTTCAACTCCACCACCCTTCGTCCAGTGGTCCTAGACTTTTTTGGCTTATCCGGGGTCACTCCAGTGGGGACAAAGGTGGGGCTGGGCTTGGCACAACTGGCTGGGGAAGGGGCAGAGAGAGAAAGAGAGGTCTGGACTCTTGGGGGCTCCTGACCCTGAGTTCGGGACCTCCCATACTCCTTGGGGCCTGTGGCCAGAGGGCCTGGGACATCGGGCATTACAGGAGGAAGGGCCAGCATGCAAGTATGTGACTGGGCTCAAGGGATTAAGGCCTCTTTCACAGAGCAAAGGGGGTGCACTGGTCACCAGTTCCCCAGATGGCTGGTGGGAGGGCCGAGGAGGTGGGGTTCACCCTTGTCGGCACGCATGCGTGGCCTGGATCGTGCTCTGCCGTCCTGCCAGGCACGATGGCTCCCTGCCCAACGAAAAGAGCCTTCAGCATTCGGGAGCCTTTGTGGCTTCCTTTGTCCGACCGCAGGTTTGGAGAAGCCAGTCTCCCCAAAGCTCCTGGTGCTCCCGGACCGGCCGAGAGAGAGCGGGGTGCTGGGGAGAAAGACTCGGCCCTACAGTCTGTACCCTCTGGGAGCCAGCCCACCTGGAGGGCACCTTCCACTTGCAGCCCCCAAAGCCTTCTTAGGTTTGTCAACAGCTGACCCTTGGCACCGCCTGAGGGGCTCAGGGCACGCAGAAGCGCTGGCAGGTCAGGGCTTTGGCCCCGGCCCTGTGCCTGCGTGATTCCTCTGCCTGGAAGGTGAAGACCCAGGCCTAGGGCCTGCAGGACCCTCCGAGTGTGGGCCCTGGTGCTCTGACCTCCACAGGGGGCGCAGGGCAGCGCTGGGCTGCCTCCTCCCCCCACTGTCTGCCTCCAGGCCCATCGGGTGGTGAGGGACAGCACAGGCAAGGACCCCGGGTTGCGGGTGGGGCCCTGGAGGTGTGGGCAACACCGGCAGGTGTGGGAGGGGGCACAACAGACTCTTCACACTCCTGCTCCTTTCACGGTCAACTTCGTAATAGAGGAAAAAGTGGTTTAGATAAAAGCGCCACCTTGCTTCCAACCTTCAATCCCATGACATCTTTAATTTCCGTCCGCCAGGTTGAGTGATGAATTCGACTCGCAGCACATCTCACTTCCTCCAACCAGAAGTTCCGCGCTGTTTGGGGTGTGAAAGTGAAACGTCCCCGAGTGTGGGGGTGGGAGGAGCAGAGCTGCCAGTGGGTTTCGTTTTTGGGACAAAAGAGCTCATCTCTGCAGCCTTCAGAACAGCTTATAGATCATTTGCAGGTGCTGAAGTCCAGGCGGCCCCCCAGTAGCCCCCCCACCCCCATTGCACTGTGGCTGTTCTGCTTGGAAAACGGCCACAGCGATGCGTGGACGTGGACAAAAAGGAGGCGCCAGATCCGATCACTCACGCATGGCAGAGCACAGCAGAGCACAGCAGGTTCCTGAAGAGAGGGCGGGGCCTGTGGCGTGGCTGTTAGTGGCACATGCCACAGAATTGTCATGTGTTGGGGTGACACTCGCTGACACAGGGTGAGTTTCACAGACAACACACCCCTCCTGGCTCTGCCTCCCTCCTGGCCCCTAAAATCCATCTGTGTATGGTTACACCAAGATTAGCTGTTAGTTCAGCCATGAAAACCTGATTTTAGCAGTATGGAAAAACAAGTTTTTACATGAAAAGGAGAGATTTTACCAAAAAGTTCCTTATGTCCCCCACTCCCACCCCACTACCCAATTTCCCTCTGCTTGAAAAATAAAAATAAAATAGAGCATCGAGGCAGCAAGCTGGTCAAAGTCTTTTCACAAATGGCCAATTGTACGGGACTGACCTGGCCGGGGGCCTGGCTTGGTGTGCATGCACCTGCTCCTGCCCCCTCTCCCGCCCAGAGGGGCTCAGGCCACAGTCCGGGCAATGGAGAGTCTTAAAGAATCGTCACCATGTCGGGAATTTCAGTTATTCCTGACGGGGAGCGGCTGTGAGGCCACTGCCTTCTCTCCCGCCCATGAGAGGGCTGCGCCGTCAGGCCTGGAAACCCATCGAGACCCAGAGGGCGCCGACGGGTAACTGTGTGCCCGTGGTTTGGAACTGAAAATGCTGGGGGCTTGAACTGTTTGGCTCGGGCTACGTGCTGAACGATGCCTGACTGAGCCAGAGAGAGACAGCGAGTGAGAGACAGCGAGAGAGGAGTCGAGCACACGAGGAAACAGCTATAGGATAATACAAGGCTTCTTGTCTTTAAAGGGGTTCTCGGAGGCAGGGACGCCAACCAGCAGGGGGTCGTTCCGGGCATGCTGCTCACAGTAACTCATGAGTTCCGACGAGGCTTTGGAGACCTGTGTGCAGGCACAAGGACAAGAGGAAGATAAGAGGGGCTGATGGGGCCTCCCTGGCGGCCTGGGGGTTCAGTCTCTGGCTATCACCACCACGTCTGAGTTTGATCCAGGCCAGAGAGCTACCCACATGGCTCAGCAGACCTTTCCTGACTCGCCCGCTGCTCCCCTCAGCAGTGGATTTCAGTAGATCTGCCTGCGTTCTGCTCCCCACTCTCTCTGGTGAATCCTCTCACTGCCTGCACCTCTGGCTTGCACCCCAGCTTTTCTACACAAAAATAAATAGATCTTTTTTTTTTTTAAAAAAAGAGGGACTGATGGTCCTATGTCTGCAGCAGCATGGCCAGGACAGCTATAAGGTGGACACCACCCAAATGTCCATTCATGGAGGAGGGACACACACATTGTGTCTCTCCACATGGCTCAGCCACGGAAAGGGGGGCAGCTCTGACACTTGACACCATGGAAGGGACCCTGAACACACAACACTCAGGGAGAGAACCAGACACACAAGGCCACGCGGTGTGAGTCCTTGACGAGAAACGTCCAGGACAGGCACAGCAACAGAGAGGGGTTCATGGTGCCAGGATATGGGGTGACTGCTGATGGAGATGGGGCTTCTTTTGGGGAGGATGGAATAATCTGGAATTAGAGGTAATAGTTGTTTAACACTGAAAGTGATAAATATCATGACTGGAAAGTTTTGTTATGAGTATTGTACCACGGGCGGACCTCCCTCAGCAGAAGTGATCAGATTCTGAACAGCCCAGGTCAAGGCGAGGTGGGACCCCCTTCGGGATTATCTAAATCTCTATCCCCACCACAGGCAGGACCTGCCTGGACATGGTCATGATCAACGGGGGATGGGAGCTTCTGAACCAGTCAGGGTCCCGGTAACCCAGGCAGGAGGCTGGCACTTAGGGCCACGGCATCAGGGTTCCCCGAGGAGGAGGAAGGTGATGAGAGTGGGTCCACCTTATCCTAGGAAAGTTGATGTGAGGGGGAAAGGGGCATTTAGGGAGGTCTGTGGGGTCATAAAAGGGGGGCCCCCCTGCTGGCTGCCGGCAACCATGCACCTCCTTCCTCCTGGCCACGCAGTTGGAGGTGCTGTGTGCGGTGCCTTCCCCTCTGCCTGCCCAGTCAGGCTGGGGTTTCAGGTCTCCGGAAATGGGGGTGCCTGGACCTCATCTCTGTGGTGGGAACTGTCTCTCTGCAGAACAGCACCCCTTTGTCAGCGCCCCCCTCTGCTTTCGCGCCTGTAGGGCAGACAGCGGGGGGCGGGGGCAGGGTAAGGGAAGCTGAGGCCGGGATGACAGCAAGGGCTGAACACGGTCCTGGTGTCTGCCATCTCTGGGGGCCCTGCATCCCAGGCCCAAGCCCCTGGGCCCGAGGAGCACCAGCTCGCCCTGGACGCGGGGTCCGCAGCCTTGTTCTGGGTCTGGCCAGTCGGCCGGGCACTGCACCCAGCGGGGCGCCCGCCTCTGGCTGCCGCTCTGGGCCGCTGCCTATGATGAGTCCCATCAGCTCTGGTTTCTGGAGCTCTGTTTGGAAAGCAGCCCTCCCGAGGACAGAAATAGCATCTGCACCCTGGAAATAGCTGGCGTGGTGGCTTTGGCGTGAGGGCTCCGGCCCAGGCACTGACAGGAAGGCTCTGGCTCCGGATGCCGGGGCCGCCCTGCGCCCAGGCCTGCGAGGGCCTCTCATTAGCTCAGACGTGCTGGTGCTCTGCGGTTCTGGTGGCCGTTCTGGGCTCTGGGAGGAGAATGGGTCACGTCCTGACTTCCCCCCATCCCGACTTTCAAAGGGGCGGCGGGGGCTCCTCCTGAACTTCAAACGGGAGGGATGAATCATGGCTGTCCTGGGCCGGGGGCTGGCGCTGGCTCACTAAAGGAAAACCACTTCACTGGGGCTTTCTCTTTCTTCAGCCCCAGGAATGCTTTGCATGCTCAGAGTTCTGGAACATTCAGACAGCCTGTGGGAGGCATCCCTCCCCTGGGGGCTGGAGGGGCCTCCTCCCCACCTGGCCGGGCGCATCAGAACTGCCCCACGGCCTTCCGCAGCCTGGCTGTCAGTGCAGGCCTGGCCAGGCCAGCCGCCCTCTCCGAGGACCACCAGCAGGGGCTGGGGACCGGCAGGTGCTAAGGAGTGAGGTCGGAACAGAAACACGGGTGAAGGGTGATTTATGTGTCCACTTGGCTGAGTGATGGAACCCAGGTGTTTGGTCAAATGTGTTTAGATGTGTGAATGTGTTTTTAGATGAGACTGAGATTTAAACGAGGGGACCCTGTGTAAAGCAGATGCCCCCGGGATGCAAGGTTGGGGGTGCCTCCCATCCACTGAACACCCTCTGAAAAGAGACTGAGGGCTCTGGAGTGGGAGGAATTGGAATTCTGTACCAGTCAGCCGTGGGGTTCAGCTGGGGGTCCCCTTCCCCCTCACCCCCCGCCCCCCTCCCCGGCTTCCAGTCTGCCGGGCCTCCAGTCCAGCCAGGCCTCCAGTCTGGAGGCCACAGTGGGGAGTCTCCTGGGGCTGCCACCACTGACTAAACCTCAAAGGCCTGCAGGACAAGGCAGAGCTGGAGCCGGGCAAATCCAGAAGCCGAACCACCTGGGTCTTTAAACAGAGACTGGGCCCTCACCCAGTCACCTGCAGGCTGGCCGGGGCCGCGGGGGCCCTGCATGTGTGCTCAGGGCTCAGAAAAGCGTCAGAGGCTTTTCTCAAGCAGGGGCCACGGCTGGCCCATCTGGCTCATGCTCTCTGAAAGGGGAAACTTCTGAGTCTGGATGTGCTGGTGTCCCCCGTGGTCTTCAAATTCACCTACGTACATACAATGTGTGTCCCCCCACATAGGAACATCACTGGGCGTGAAAAGGGGGGCAGCTCTGACACTCACTACCACAGGGAGGGCCCCTGCACAGACGACGCTCAGGGAGAGAAGCAGACACACGAGGCCACGCGGTGTGAGGCCACTGACAGGAAACATCCAGGACAGGCACAGCCACAGGTAGAGAGTGGGTTCATGGTGCCAGGGGCTGGGGAGCACTGCCAGTGGGATGGGGCTTCTTTTAGGGGTAATGGAATATTCTGGAACTAAGAAAGAAGTGGTGACTGTACAACACTGTGAATGTATTAAATGCCACTGAGTCATGCACTTTGAAATAAACAATTCACTTCATGCTTTGCAAATAATTTAAAAAAACAATTCTGTTGGCAGGGCTGATTGTCGATCACTATCTTATTTTGCTTTGCAAGTCCTGGTCCCTGACAGGTTAAGCATCTTTGAGCAGGAACTGCTGTCCTTTTCTTTTTCTTTTCCTTTTTTTTTGGCATAAAAAGCAAACATGCTTATTTCCAAGAATTCAAACAATGCAGAGAGCAGATGATGAGAAGCCCTCCGTCCGCTCTTCCCTGGGCCCTGCCTCCAACCTCTATCTGCGACAGTCTTAATGCGGAAGGGGGCTGAGCAGACGGGGCCAGGGGGCAGGAGAGAAGGTGCCTGTTTCGTGCTGACCCTTCTGGTACGACCAGGGCAGCTTTCTGGGGACTCTGCAGGGCAGGGCCCCAAGGCCGGGCAAGCCCGCCTCGCCACTGGCCTCTCTCTGGCAGTGACACATCGGAGGGCACCATGCCCCACAGCACAGGCTCATACCTGCTCCTCTTTCCACAAGGAAACGGAGGTGTCGGGAAGTTCATGGGGTCTCCCAAAGTCACACAGACAGGTGCAGGCAGAGAGGAAACCCCTTCCTCCCGCCAGCCTCTCACCTGGGGTTGCTGGGGCTCCGGCTCCGCGCCGCCCTCCCCTACTCACCTTGATGCGCTCGATCCCGGCCTCGATGCGGAGCTGCTCCACCAGCTTCCGGGCCTGGGCTATGTTGTTAGTGGCTGACATTGTCTGCCATCAGCTCTGGGCCCCGGCGTCCAGAGAGCTATGGGGGAAGCAGAGGGAGTGAGCTGACTCAGGAAGCCCAGGGGTACACAGCTGAGGGGGGAGCCAGACACCCCCTTCTGGAGGTCTCCCTAGGTTGGATCGTTCCCTGTAAGGGGTTATCCTGGGCAATGTGGGGTCCTGAGCAACATCTCTACTCCTACCCATTCACCAGGAGCACCCCACTACTGAGGACCACACATGTCCCCTGACACCCAGATGAGGCACAATGGAGGAGAATTACCTGGGGACATTATGCATTGTGGGCCCCACATATGTACCCCTTCCCTGGAAGATCTGGGTCTATTTCCTCCCTCCCTCTCTCTTCCTTTTTCTTTCTCCCTCCTGCAAACTGGCGCAAAGAATGGCTGACCTCGTGGGCCATGGCTTTGGCAACCAGTGTGTCCAGTCAATGGCACCATGTGTCCATGGAGGCCTCTGGACTCAGATGCTGGGTTAGATTTGCCACTCATCGGCTCCAGGCCACCTTCCCCAGCCTAGGCTGGCTGTCCCTGGTCCTCACTCCCGCCGCCCGGGCCAAACAGGAGCAACATGTGATTAGCTCTTGGTGTCTGTGTGGGAGTGGCTTGGGGCTAATCACAGACTGGGTACAGTCAGAAGCCCAGGAGGGTGAGAGAATTCACCAGAGCCAGAGCGGGGAGCAGAACAGGCAGACTGACGAAATACATTGCTGAGGGGAGCAGCAGGAGCTGCAGGAGAGGTCTGTGTGCCATGTGGGACCCTCGCTGGAGGCTGGGGATTGAACCGGCGCTGCAGAGGCTGCGGGCAACTTTGCAGCCCAGCGCTTGACCGCTGAGCCATCAGGGAGGCCTGGAAGGGAAATTTTAAAAAAAGATCTGTCTATCTATCTATCTATCTATCTATCTATCTATCTATCTATCTATGCATACAAGAACTAGGGTGTAGGCCAGAGGTGCAGGGGTTAAGAGGATTCACCAGAGACAAAGTGGGGAGCAGAACAGGCGGATCCACTGAGATACACTGCTGAGGGGAGCAGCGGGGAGACAGGAGAGGTCTGCTGCGCCATGTGGGTCAGCTCCCTGCCTAGGGATCCAGCTCAGGCCATAGCAGTGGTAGTGCTGAGAATTAACCAATAGGCCACGAGGGAGGCCGGGGAAGGAAGACTGAGAGTTGGGGATCACCAAAGGTTGAAGGAGTTTGCATGTTGTGCAGGATTTTCCAGCATTTTCTGATATATTGGGGCTCAAGCTCCTCTATTTTCTTCTAGGGTGGCCATAACAAACAACCACAGACTGCATGGCTTACAGGAATCTGTTCTCTCACATTCTGGAGGCCAGAAGCCCACCATCAAAGGGTTATACCGTCTTGCTCCCTCCAAAGATGCCAGGGGAAGGGCCTTCCTGCCATGTCCAGCGTCTGACGTGGCCAGCAGCAGTCCTTGGCTTGCAGCTGCATCACTCAGATCCCTGCCTCTGTCCCCACGTGGCCGCTCCTCTGTGCCCGTGTCCAAACTTCCTTCTAAGGGTCCCTGGCACATTGGGCCAACCAACTCCAGCGTGACCCCCATCTTAACTCATCACATCTGCAAAGACCCGATTTCCAGATAATATCATGTTCTGAGGTTCTGGGTGGATGTAGAACTTGGGGGGCGGGCAGCAGTACTATTCATACCACTACAGCTTCCTTGGGTGTGCATGGTACAGATAAACCCTCTCCCTGAACCCTAAGTAGACCTGCAGCTAATCCTGCAGCCATCTGGTGGGGAGAGCATTTGCTGTTTCTACTGCACCAAACCACATCTATTGATCTGTTTGCTTCCCCAGCAGCCTGCGGAGCTAGAAATCACGATTTAGGAGGGGAAAACACCTCCCCATCAGGAAGGTCAACACTTCATTGTGCCAACGAGTCCCGCTTTGCTATTATTGGGAATAATTTTAATTTCAATTTCCTTTCCAAAATATTTTTATTCACTTATTTCCTAATTATATTTAAATTTTGGAATGCCTGTAGAGTCCCATGTAATTGCTGCAATGAGAGAAAGAGAGAGAGAGCTGGTATTCTCAGCACTCAGTTTTCCCAGAGTTAGTATCTTGTAAAACTGTTGTCAGTGTCACAGTCAGGATGTGACACGGATGCAGGGAAGGAGCAGGACATTCTCCCCACCTCAGGTGGCCATCTCTCACACCCATCCTCACACCCAGGCCCTGGCAACACCGACAGGGTCTCTGCCTCCATATTTTTGTTGCTTTGAGATTATATAAGTGAAACAACATGGTACGTAGCCTTTTGGATTGACTTTTTTTTGCCACTTGGTTTAATTCTCTGGAGAGCCACCTGGGCTATGTGAGACCAGGCCACAGCACCTGGCTGAGCTCCAGAGATGGATAGCATTCCTTTTTCAGGGCTGAGTAGTGTTCCACGTCATGGATGTGCCACCATTTAACCCTTCTTTAACTGTTAAAGAACATCTGAGATGATTCCAGTTTGTGGTGATCATAAACAAAGCTACTATAAATACTGGTGTGAATGTAAGTCTGTATTTCTCTGGGATAAATGCTGAGGAGTGTAATTACATGTTTCTTCTTTAAGAAAATGCCAAACTGTTTTTCCAGAGTGGCTGTTCCATTTTATCTTCCCACTAGCAATATAGAGTGATATTCATTTATTTTCATAATTCAGTTATGCAGTTTTTTTTCTGTCCCTTAAGGCAGGAGAAGTTCTACTTCTCCCATCTAATCTTCATTTAGTAAACCCTGGGACAGGGTGTCTCCCTGGGGTGATCTTGACCCCAGGGGACACTGGGCCATGTCTGGGGACATCTATGGCTGTCGTGACTGGGGGTGCTCCTGGCATCCAGTGGGTGGGGCCAGGGATGCTGCTCAGCCCTGCACAGTGCCCGGACTTCTTCCTCCCCAGCACCCCACGACCTGGCCTGCGTCCACAAGCTCGCCATGAAGTAGCAGTCTACTCCTCCGTGACACCTCCCATCACTGCCTGCTTTGTAGTCAGCAGAGCCAGGTAGTTGCAGGAAAGTGGAGGTGGATTTCAGATGTTCAAAACATTTCCCACTCAGCAATAAAAAGGTATGGATTGTTTGATGTACAGACTATGTTGGATAATTCTCCAGGGAGTTATGTGAAGAGAAAAGGTCAATCCCTGGAGGTTGCCTGGCTCCATTTACAGAGCACTGTTGAGATGACAGGATGGCAGAGGGGAGGATGGATTCACAGTGGCCAGGGCTGGGGAGGGGGGAGGGGCTGGGAGGAAGAAAGGAGAGCGAGCACCGCGTGGTGCTGACACGGTGAGTATCATGATGGTGGTGATGGGTACACGCGCCTGCACAGGTGACGGTAGTGTGCAGGGCTCACACTCACACCCCAGTGCAGCTGAGGAAGGCGGGGGATCGCCTCATTGCCAACGACCCGGTTGGGACATTGACCAAACTCTGACAGATTGCTACCATTGGGGAAAACAGTGGTATAGAAACTTCTCTGTGATTTGTTACAACTGCCTTTGACTCTAAGGCGAGCTCCAAAAAAACGTTTCAGTGAAAATGCCACGCCCTCCACACTGCCTGCCTCCCTTTCCAACAGGCACCCAGGTCCCTTTTTGGGTCAGAAAAGGCTGGTGTGTCTGCTGAGGTCACACAGAATCCTGCGTGTGGGCTTCCAGAGGGCTCTGATTCAGCAAGAGCTTCAAAGCAGCCACAAAACATCCAAGCCCTTGGTTCAGCTTAGAAACACCAAAATTACTCAGTGCTAAATATAGACGCCTACAGTGAACAAACGGGTTGGCCCCGAGGCGTGTTTTCCTTGGAAGACTAAGGAGTCCTCCTCAGCATCTACACTCAGAGGTGTCCACCAACCTGGAGACTCCATCCACCCAGAGTGGACGCTGCCGCCATGGCCCCCCCGTGAGCAGGGACCCTGGAGAACCGTGGGCCCCCCATCCAAGCACAGTACCCCGAGGGCTCCCTCTGGGCTGGCTGAACCCAGATGCCCAGAACGGTGTATTTATACAGAGTGCACGTGTGCTTGCATGCATGCATGCATGCACACACATGAGCGGGCACAGGTGTGTATGTTTGTGCACATGCATGCATGTGCATGTACGTATCTGCATGAGCGGCATGTGTGCACACATGCATATGTGTGTGCTGGATGTGAGCTGTGTGTGCATACGTGTATGTGGGTGTATGTGCTTGTATGCATGCATGTTTGTGGGTGTGTGCTTGTGAATGTGCAGTGTGTCAGTGTGCATGTCTGTATGCACAGGTGTGTGTGTACAGGTACACTTGGGTGTATGTGTGCATGTGGGCACTTGTACTTATGTGTACACTAGTGGGTGTTGGGCTGTGAGCACATATTTCTGTGCACGGGCACAAGCATGTATCTTGATGTGCACGTGTGTGTGTGTGTTTCTGTGTGTGCCTGAGCCCAGGTGTGTGGGTGTACGTGCATGTGAGTGCTGGGGTGCCATGCTCAGACATAGGTTGCATCACAGACCCCCCATGCATCAGGCTTGCCCCTGGCCTGGCATTGTCACAGCTGGTTACTGACTCAGCACCAGCCATGCCCCAGGGACGAGGCCGACTCCAGCAGAATGGGAGGCGCTGAGTCAGCTGGGCACATTCCTTACCAGCTGCCTCCCCACAGAAGGCACGTGATATGCTGGGCACCCTGGTCAGGCCTGGCCTGCCTTGGTTCAGGAGGGCCTTGGAAGGCTCCAGAAGGCCAGCATGGCCCTGGAGGTGGGGGAGAGGGTGTAGTGGTAGCCTCAGAAAGGAGGGGTGAGGCAGGCAGTCACGTTCCTGACTTGCTCCCAGCTCTGCCTCTGTGGGGAGACTGGGTCAGGACTGGCAAGGTCAGGGCACGGCTTGGGGCGAGGCTGATCTAAAAATAGAATCACAGACGCCACCAGGCTGTGGGCTGGCTCCAAATGAAGCACTCAGAAGCCGCACCACGTTTAAGCTGGCTCCAGCAGAAGCTAACATGCAGGACCAAAGCAAGCGAGACGACC